ATAATACTCTAGATAGAAAACCCAAAAGACTCCACCCCCAGATTGCTAGAACTCATACAGCAATTCAGCAATGTGGCAGGATACAAAATCAATGCCCAGCAATCAGTGGCATTTCTATACACTAACAATGAGACTAAAGAACGAGGAATCAATCCCATTTACAATTGCAGCCCAAAACGTAAGATACTTATGAATAAACTCAACCCAAGAGGTAAATGATCTATTACCTAAAAACTACAGAACACTTCTGAAACCAATCGAGGAAGATGCAAAGAGATGGAAAAACATTCCGTGTTCATGAACTGGAAGAATAAATATTGTGAAACTGTCTATGCCACCCAGGGCAATTTACACATTCAATGCCATCCCTATCAAAATACCATGGACTTTCTTCACAGAGTTGGAAAAAATAATCTTAAGATTTGTATGGAATCAGAAAAGACCCTGAAAAGCCAGAGGAATGCTGAAAAAGAAAACCAAAGCTGGGGGCATCACAGTGCCTGACTACAAGCTGTATAAAAAGCTGTGATCATCAAGACAGTGTGGTACTGGCACAAAAACTGACACATATGTCAATGGAACAGAATAGAGAACCCAGAAATGGACCCTCAACTCTATGGACAATGAATCTTTGACAAAGCAGGAAAGAATATCCACTGGAAAAAGGACAATCTCTTCAATAAATGGTGTTGAGAAAATTGGACATCCACATGCAGAAGAATGAAACTAGACTATTTTCTTACACCATACACAAAGATAAACTCAAAATGGTTGAATGATCTAAATGTAAGAAAAGAATCCATCAAAATCCTAGAGGAGAACACAGGCAACAACTTTTTTGAACTTGGCCACAGCATTTTTTTGCAAGACACATCTATGAAGGCAAGGGAAACAAAAGCAAAAATGAACTATTGGGACTTCATCAAGATAAAAAGCTTCTGCACAGCAAAGGAAAGAGTCAGCAAAACTAAAAGACAACCTACAGAATGGGAGAAGATATTTGCGAATTTATCAGATAAAGGGCTAGTATCCAAGATCTATAAAGAATTTATCAAACTTATCACCTATGAAATAAACAATCCAGTCATAAAATGGGCAGAAGACATGAACAGACTTTCTCCAAAGAAGACCTACACATGACCAACAAGCACATGAAAAAAAATGCTCTGCATCACTTGCAATCAGGGAAATACAAATCAAAACCACAATGAGATATAATCTTACACTAGTGAGAATGACTAAATTTAACAAAGCAGGAAATCACAAATGTTGGCAAGGATGTGGAAAATGAGGAACCATCTTACACTGTTGGTGGGAATGCAAAATGGTACAGCTGCTCTGGAAAACAGTGTAGAGGTTCCTCAAGAAGTTAAAAATAGAGCTACCCTGCAATCCAGCAATTGAACTACTGGGTAAAGATACAGATGCAGTGAAACGGCAGGACACGTGCACCCCAATGTTCATAACAGCAATGTCCACAATAGCCAAACTGTGTAAGGAGCCATGATGTCCTTCAACAGATGGATAAAGAAGATGTGGTCTATATATACAATGGAATATTACTCAGCCATTAGAAAGGACAAATACCTACCGTCTGCTTCAATGTGAATGGAACTAGAGGGCATTATTGCTGAGTAAGTCAATTGGAGAAAGACTATTATATGATTTCACTCATGTCTGGAATATAAGAAATAGTGAAAGGGAGTCTAAGGGAAAGAAGGGAAACTGAGTGGGGAAAAATTAGGGAGGAAGACAAACCGTAAGAGACTCCTAACTCTGGGAAAGAAACAAAGGGCTACAGGAGGAGGGGATTGGGTAACTGGGTGATGGGCACTAAGGAGGGTACTTGATGGGATGAGCACTGGGTATTATACTTTATGTTCACAATTTACTTTAAATAAAATATTTTTAAAAGAAGAAGAAGAAAAATAAAATAGATGAAATAGAGACCATAAAAATAATGGATAAAATCAAAGAATAGATTTTTCCAAAATATAAACAAAATTAATAAACTTTTAGCAAGACTAAGAAAAAAATAATAAATAATATCAAATGAAACAAGAGAAACTACAACTGACAGATCATAAGAGACTACTACTATGAACAAGTATAAGCCAACAAATTAGATAACTAGAAGAAATGAATAAGTTCCTAGAATTATGCAACCTATGAAGACTGAAGTAGGAAGAAACAGAAAGTCTGAGAGACCAATAACAAGTAAGGATACTAAAATAGTAATCAAAAACCTCCCAACACCTAAAACCTCATAACTAGATGGTAAGTGGTGAATTATATAAAATATTTAAACAAAAACTAATTCCAATCATTCTCAAACTCTTTCAAAAATTTGAAGAGGAAGGAACACTTCCAAACTCATTGTGTGAGTCTAGTATTACCTGACTCCAAATGACAGATATGGACAGTATAAGAAAACTACAGACTAATTTTTCTAATGAATATAGATGTAAAAACTGACAACAGAATATTAGCAAACCAAATTCAAGAACTCATTAACAGGACTATACACTATGACCAAGTGCAATTTACCCCTGAAATGCAGGGATAGTTCTTTTTACATAAATCAATAATTGTGATACTTCACAATTATTACAATAATTTCACAATTATCACAATAATTATAATATTTCTATTTTTAATAGAATTAAAAATAAAAATCGTAATCACTTTAATAGATGCAGGAAAAGCATTTGGCAAAAGACAACATCCTTTGATGATAAAACCATCAACAGCTTAGGTATAGAAGCTTAAAGATAGAAGGTACATAAGTCAACCTATGACAAACCTTCAGCTAACACACTCTGAAGAAAAATGTAAAGCTTTTACCATAAGATCATGAACAAGGCAAGTGTATTCATATTCAACACAGTACTGGAAGTCCTAGCTAGAGCAATGAGACAAGACAAAGAAATAAATGCAAATAAGAAATAAAGAATTAAGATTTTCATTATTTGCAAATGATAAGATTTTTCACAGTTGGCCCTTGAATAACATGGTTTGAACTGCATGGGTCCACTTATATGCAGAATTTTTTTATAAATGTGTGTACTGTAGATTTATTTTCTTTTCCCTCTGATTTGTTTAACAATTTCTTTGTTTTGTTGTAAGAATACAGTATATCATTTATACATATATATTACAGTGTAATATATATATTACAAAATATGTGTTAATTGACTGTGTTATCAGTACTGCTCTAGTGAACTGTAAACCATTAGTAGTTAAGTTTTTGGGGACTCAAAAGTTATACACAGATTTTTTTACTGGACAGGACATCCTTCTATACTGCTTGTGGTGCAGTCACTGTGGAAAACAGGCAGCTTCTCAAAAAGCAAAATTACAATTCTCATATGCTCCAGCAATTACACCCCTACTCCAAATAATTGAAAACAGAGATTTAAACAGCAACCCAGGGGCACCTGGGTGGCTCAGTAGGTTAAGTGTCTGTCTGCCTTGGGTTCAGGTCATGATTCCAAAGTCCTGGGATCAAGTACCTCATGAGGCTCCCTGCCTAGTGGTGAGTTGGCCTCCTTTCCCCTGCTCATGCTCTGTCTCTCTCCCTTCTCTCTCAATCAATCAATCAATCAATCAATCAATCAATATTTTTAAAAAATATAAAAGAAATAAAAATAAAGTTACCAGACACCATGTTTATTGCAGCATTATTCATAATAGCCAAAAGATGGAAACAATCCAAATGTTCATCAGCAGGTAAATGGATAAAAAAAAATGTGATATATACATATAATGGAATATTTTTCAGCCATAAAAAAGGAATGAAGTTCTAACACATCATGGATGAAACTTGAAAACATTATGCTAAGTGAAATAGGCCAGATACAAAAGGACAAATGTTGTATGATTTATTTATATGAAATATACTAGGCATGTTCCTAGAAATAAAAAGGAAATTGGAGGTTACAGAGGCTGGACAGAGGCAGGAATGGGAGTTATTGCTTAATGAATTTCTCTTGAGGGTGATGAAAAGTTGTGGAGATAGAGGTAGTGATGATTGTACAACATTGTGAATGTCATTAATACCAATGAATTGCATACTTAAAAGATGATTAAAATGGCAAACTTTATGTTATATATTTTTATCACAATAAAATTTTTAGTAGATTGGTTAAATTCAGGCCAACTATTGGTTTAAGTTTATAACAAACTTTGAATAAAAACTACCTCATAATAAGGCATGATTATCTCAAATAACATGGTAACATAGGTGAAACAGTAGAGGTACTCTTATCTCAAAGTACAATAGAAGAGTAATTCTCTTGCACTCTACATCACAACCATTTAATTTTATTTTGAAAGTTCCAGCCAATGTAGAAAGACACAGATTGATTATTAAAATTATATATGTTGGATAGGAAGAACAAATTTATCACTGTTTTAATTTATATATATATATATATATATATATATATATATATATATATACACATTTATTTTTAAGACAGAAAGTATGCTCAAGTTGATGAGGGAGGGGCAGAGGGAGGATCTTAATCAGGCTCCACCCCAAGCACAGAGCCTCATGCAGACTCAGTCTCAGGACCCTGAGATTATGACCTGAGCTGAAATCCAGAGTCAGACACTTAACTAACTGAGCCACTCAGGCACCCCATTTTAAAATATATTATATAAAACATCTAAAGAATCTAGATAAAATATTAATTATTTATACCACAAAGCGTCTTTTTCTTGTTTTATCTTGATGAATTTTTGGCATTATATCATGTTAAGAATTCATAATGCCAATACTGTTATTTGATTGATGCAAAGCTATCACTTCCCTTTTACACAGATCTTAGTTGAAATTAATTTTTACATACTAGTCAATATGTTTTTATATTATGTGATGACTGTCCAAGGAGTTATTTCCATATTTAATAATATTCTCTTTTCATTTATTTAAAATTATACCATGGGAACACACAATCATTCACATTTTTATCTTACAAAACAAAAAATCTTTTTACCTTGAAATTCTGTTGCTTCTTGTCTTTCAGTCTTGCTTTGTAATTTCTCTTCTACAACAGCAGCCTTAATGACAAAAGTTATAATAAGTAATTTCAAATTTATATCTTGTAACTCTAATTACCTTCTTTCAGAGCAAGAACTTTTACTCATATCTACAACATCATTAGATAAATGTTTTACTTTTATATATGAATGCATCAAATAAAAGCATGAAAACAATTAATGGATCTGAAAATCATTTGGGAACATGTATGTGGAGGGAACCCAAGCTATATTGTGATCCTCCTCATAAATAATTGCAAATAAATCATGTTAATAATGATGATGATTCTAGTTTAGATTTATATATTAGTCTGATTCAATCTCTAGACTAACTTATGAAATTATTTTTAAGGTCATTTTAATAAATTCTATGATAAAAATATATTGTAGATATATGTCAAATATATACAGCCCTTTTATCATCTTTTCTCCCAGTATTTTTGCTTTAAGAGTTTTCTAATCAGGGACACCTAGGTAGCTCAGTGGTTGAGCATCTTCCTTCAGCTCAGAGTGCGATCCTGGGGTCCTGGGTTGAATCACACATCAGCTCCCTACAGAAAGCCTGCTTCTTCCTCTGCCTATGTCTCTGCCTCTCTCTGTATGTGTCTCATGAATAAATGAATAAAATATTTTTTAAAAAAAGATTTTCCTAGTCAAATACTGTTTTAACAAAAGCAATTCTGATAATTTTCTAGGCATTGTTTAAGGAATATAAAATCATTTCGAAACAATGTTTCACAATTACCTGACTATTTGAAAATATTTTTCTAGATGAACCTGAAATGATAATTTCCCTATCTCAGTTAGGAATTGTGTATCTTTTATCATTAAAACTCTAATCTAAGCCACAACTTCTTTGTTGATACAGCTTAGAATTTTTATGTAAAAATAAAAATTTTACATAATTTTTAAAATTATGTAATTTAAAATTATGTAATTTAAAATTATGTAATTATTTTAAAATTTTACATAATTTTTAAAATTATTTTAAATTATTTTAAAATTTTTAAAATGTAATATTTGAGAATCTCTGATTCTCAAATATTACTTTAAACATCCTAAGTATAAAACAGATTATATTAAAATATAAAATTGTATTACTTTTAAATAAGAAAATATTAATGAGTTTTAACATTTTCTTAAAATATTAAAGGAGTCTAGCAATTCAAAGTACACAGCTTTCAAATTATTGTACTATATCTTACCTTTGAGATGTCACTACCCATTGGCTTTCTTTTAGTAAGAACAGAGGGTGAAATGAATGATGCTGTAGCTGTTTCACTCCCTTGAAGTGATGTTTTGCCAGACAGTAAATCTTCAATCTCCTTGTTTGATAATAGTCTTGTTAATGGTTTCTCATGGGTCTTTAATGGAAGCGTGTAGGATAGGTCTTTATCAGCTGAAACTTCATTTGAACTCCTTAGAAAAGCTGAACCATCTTGAGTGTTTAGGATCTGTGAAAGATCTGAAATAGCAGAGCTAGCTCTTTTCTTCTCTGAGCTTTAGAATTACAAAACATCTTGTATTAGATTATGTGAAGAACATTTTAAATTTTTAATTTAAGTATCATTTTAATAATCTATGAGAATATTAAATAGGCAATCATAATTATCCATTAATGAATGGTAATACAAATATGAAGTTGCTGCTAGATAACAAGTTGAAGACAATATATCTTTTAGGAATTAAAAAAGATATACAGAATTAAATAACTTTTAAAATACTTAACATAAGAGCTATTCAAGATCATAACAGGCACAGAACAAAAAATATTTGGTCACACAAAGTAGAACACAAGATGTTTTAGAAGATGCCCTTCAGTCACATTTATTCCAAAGTTATTTTTCCACAATTTCATTTCAGAATGAAAATAAAAATTTCTCTATAGCAGTTTTAATATTAAAAGATCACTGTCTTCTACCAGAGTTAATTTCCAAGCTCTGAGTTAGTTTTCTTCAAGGCAATAAGTATTTATTCTTCACCAGTTGGCAGGCTCAGCTTATTAGGGGTCCAGGACTAGGGTAACCATATGTCATGGTTTGTCTACACAGTCCCAATTTATGCTTGTTCCAGCATTCCACTTTAGATGATAATTTAAAGGTCCAACTAGCTATGTTCTATAGAATTTGACATTCTATAGAAAAAAAAAAGCTTTTCTGGTCCTATCGAATGCAACAGAATTTGATGGTTCTTCACTTTATACAGCTATTATTCCAGTTAATATAATTTGCCTAAGGTTTGTTGCAGTGCCTAAAATAATTTGAATTTTGGTCATGCAGATGCAAAATTTTACAATGTAACTATTTCACTCATCCTAATCTGTTGGTTTGAGATGAATTTCCAACACTAGAGTTTGAATTATAAAAAAGAGGCATATGGAAGACAATTCTAGAACAAAAGTGTAAGATAATTGATGGTTAAAAGGACATCGTTTATGAAAGACTTTTGTAGTAGTTATAAAACAGATTCCAATATTAAAGTTAAAGAGAAAAGATGGCTGCTTGTCATAAATCAAGGATATCTCAGCCTCAAACATGATTTAATAGTTTTATTATTCATTTGAATTTAAAATGACTAGTTCTAAAATAGCCTAACACTCTTCTGGAAACCATTTTTGAAGATATATCCTAGAGGACTCATAATTTTTAGGCCATTGAAGCATAACAACTCTTCAAGTACATGATATAAATTGATGCTTTTTTTACAAACATACCTGCAGCTATTAGTAGCTGCATGACCACTCATGTTACCACTATTACCACATAGCTATAAGTAGAAAGCAAAATACTTTTAAAGATTTTGAAATATTTATGAGGAGATATCATTAATCATTTGATTCTACTATAACAATAGAGGCAAATGATCCTACTATAACAATAGAGAAAATATGTGGCAATCTTGAGAACAAGCCTTAAATAAAATACAAAGACTATAATACAAAGTTTGTTTATGACCATACTCCCACATGCAAGCATTCCCCATTTATACTGGCTTCTACAATCATAAAGGACAGTCATTTTATAACACCATAATACTCCTGAGGGAAGGGACAGGAAATGAAAAACACTAGAAATGTATGCAAGCAGTACTGTATTCAAGCTCACATCAACCAAACAGACAGCTCTAAGAAGTGGAGACAGGCATACTTTCAAGGCCAGATGTTTACTTGAATGATAAAAGAAAAGAAGAGGAAATGGAGGGAAAAGGAGGAGGAAAACAGAAGGAGGAGGAAGAGAAGAAAGGAGGAAGAGAATATAAAGTCTATGAAAGTCAGCCTATATTCACACATAAAATAATAATGATCAGCCCTATCCCCATTCTTTGGTAAATTATCAAAAACAACCTAAATATATTTTATAAGTCTTGCTAAATGTGCATCATTTGTCGTTCACTTATGATTAAGATTCTTTCTAGCCATCACTCTGTGCTAAAAACTTACAATATAATAGTATACTTATAAGCATGTATTTCAACAGCTTTGATATAAGAATGTTGATAGCATTCTACATGACAGTCTTCAACGTCACTGAAGTGCTATAAAGAATACATCTACTCTTGCTTGCAAAAGTATTTGTTAATCTGTAGATCTGAGCATTCTATCCTTTTTTCACCAAGCAAATAGGTATGTAAAGGCAAATCTGTTATGCATATCATTAGACACCCTTTTAACACATTGTCATCCAGACAAAATGGATGATTCCTCAACCTGTCCTGAGTTGTCTTGTCTGTTTCTATTCCAAGACCTTCTATTTCTCAGCTTTCCTTATTAACTCCAACCATTTTCTAAACTGTTCCCAAGGCATTTCCCTCCTCCCTTAGGAAAAAAAAAAAACTCTCTTATAAGTATTGATACATACACTGAACCTTTAATAATGGAAATATAGAGGAGAATGGATTTGATATTCTTATCTTCAATAATAGAATATGTAGAATGCATTTCTATATATAAAGAAAACAAAAGAGCTAGGATTCAAAGTGTGTAGTACAACCTTAAATGTTTCTAAAAATTAACTTTAGAAGAAAATTTCAATATAATGAATGTAAAATTAACATTCAAAAACTATCATATCTTGATAGTTTTAAAGAGTATATTATTATTGGTCAAATTCTTCATAGTGATTAGTTTTAGGCTCCTCAACTAAAAAGGAACTCAAAAAATTTTGAAAAGATTTGATAAAAATGCAAATGATTAAAAACCTGGAAAAATGAAATGTTAAGATACTTAGAATTATTTCACCTAGAGGAAATAAGGCTGGTTGACTACTTAGAAATAGTTTGTAAATGTGTAAACATATCTTACACTGAAAACGTTTATAGCTATTGCTATTCCTGAAATAATTAAAAATAGGACTTAAACTATAAAATAAGGAAATTATATGAAACAGAAAAGGGAAACTATTCTAGAAAATAAACTAGAAAAACAAATTATTGGTTAATGAGAGTGGTATACATATTTTCTCTTGCATGGCCCTGGATATTTCCATTTCTCCAGCCAGTAGCTTGGCAGAGATTCTCAAAATCTTTCACTGATACTTACAAAATTGGACTATGAACTCCCTCCACACACTCTTTTATTGACACATCTACTACCCCTTCATCAGGGAACTTTGCAGTTACAGAATCATCTATTTTTCTCTGCACCCCTCCCAATTTCTCTATAAATATATAAACTAGTATGTGACTGGGATCCTTACCCTAGAGCACTTTCCATTATCCATCAAGTTGTCTCTAGCCCAAACATTTCCTTGTGCAAAATGGAGCTTGGAATACTACATGTGTCCTGCTTCTATTCTGCTTATAAGTTTTTTTCAATAAATACTATTTTATTGTAACAAATTACATTGTATATTTAGTTGTATATGACTTGTCTGGATATTACAGCCTTTGAAAATAGAACTAGTTTGATTGGGCCACCACTGAGGTGAGAAATAAATCCCCTGGAAGCCTTATATCAGACAAACTATTGAGTTGGAATGGCCAAAATCTCAGTGGCCATATTATATATAGTCACAAAAGCCCCAGAGGGGCAAATTACTTAACCAAACTAGAATGACAAGAGCTCAGGTAGCCCCAGAGATATGGGACACCATAACCTCTAAGTAGGTAGTGTAGTTGCATAGTCCACAGACTAATGAAACCCTGAAAGGGGCAGATTTCTCTATAAAAGAAAAATCTGGAGCAATAAACTTATAAATAGGTGGCTACAGTACCTTACTTACTAAAGGAAAGTCAAAGAGGCTAGGTCAGCAAAGCCTAGAGAAATTGTGACTGAGAGTTAAGCCAATACTAAAACCTGAAAAGGACTTAAAACGGGACAGAGAAGAGACTTTATGGTTGGCCTCTTTTGCAACAAAGGGAGGAATACTATCAAGCTGATACAAAATTTGGAATGATCTTAACAGAGTTACACAGATAGGACAAACTGAAATGGAGCCCTGTCCTTTCTGGCTCTCTAGAGAGTAAGACCTCAAGTATTGCTAAACTTACTATATACTCAATATTACATGATGTGTAAAAAGGAATTAACATAGCAGGGCTAAGACTTTTATCCTTAACATAGGCCTGTTTACAAGATTGACCCATGAGTGGCATCCAGGAAGTTACCAGGGTTTCCATTATCCCTAGAATTGATAAAAGTGGCTGATTGTGCCCAAACTGTACAATATCATTTATGCTGAACATTTGCTTTCCTTCTGGGAATATGGGGTTTTGGTACATGGTAGGAACAGGGTGTCTACAAGACCAGCTACCAGTAAAATCCCTGGGTACTGAGTCTCTAATGACCTTAACTAGTAGACAACATTTCATGTGTTGCTACAAAGAAAGGACTCTTGGATGTTTGTACCCAGTGTCTTCCAAACTTTGCCCTATGTGTCTTTTCCCTTTAGTGATTCTGCTTTGTAAATTTTTACTATAATATCATAATGACTATGTTCTGAGCCCTGTAAGTCTTCCCAGTAAATCAGTATACCCCTAGGGTGGCTTTGGGGATTCCCCAATACAGTTGGCATCATGATCAAGGAAAGCTGCAAAGAAAAAGTGTTAAGGGGATTTTGCTGCCAATGGTGGCTTGGAATTTAAATTCTTTGGCTATTGAAAACAGGACAAGATTCCATAATTAATTGTTTTTGCTTATTAGAAGCTCTGGAAAAAGAAAGGCACCAGGAGCAAGAGAGACAATCTCTAAATAAAGATACACTTTTGGTGTTTAAACAGCAGTTTTTTGGTTGTTAATAAGCTCTTGTAAAATCAGACATTTGATCGTTAGTGACGATGATGATTTTCTGGCTGATGTGCATATGTTTGAGTGAATTATTTTGCACTCTAAGACTGACAAAGTAGGTTTGGTAACACCTTCATTGCCATTTGGACTAGTAATGGGGCTCTCTCCACGGCATCTCAGCTTTGCTACTAATTAAAAAAATAATTATTAAAGAAAAAAGCTAATTCACAGATCCTAATTGCCTGGACCTGACTCAGCTGAAACCTGACACTGTCTGCTATGGACTATTTCAGCCTCAGCATGGGTTGTTCTAAAGAATGAAAAGCAGACTTAATCAGACTCTGAGACAGCTCCAGATTTAGGACACCTGTCTTTGAGGTGTCCTAAACTCCAAAAACATCATGTATGCAGACTGCACCATGTAGATCACATACAAATATCCACAGACAAGAGCTTGTTCTCTGACGAAACCATCTTAAATTCAGCTGCTGATCTACTCTGTATACAGAGACTATATTCCTCACTTTCCCTGATAAAAGCTACAAGTTGGGGGAGGGCACATCTCAAGGAATGTGGCCACTGCATGCTTTTAACAAAATCTCAACTCCCTTTCTAGTTGTTGATTATTGTGTTTGACTTGCTAGATTCATTGTAGTTTGCAAAAATGGACTGATACTCTGACTCTACATCTCTCACCTGTCTCCTAGTATACACATTTTAGTAAGTCAGTTTGACTTTTAAAAGGACGTGTTCCCACAAAGAAATTGATTTTTTTTTTCTAGTCTGCTCACTGGATAAATGATCAGAACAAAAGGGATGGGAAGTTATGTAAACCCATTTTGAAACTTTTGAAAATTCAGAATTTGTCCTGATCAATTCCTAAACATTTGTATCTTTCTGATTAAGATATATAAAAGTGCTTTACTGCAAAAATGCTTTTGTCCTTCTTGCACACTTTGACTTGCCTTCAGCCAAAAGATCTGGATGGAAGTAGAACATGATTTAGAAAAAATATAAAGTTTTAATTACTGAATGAAAACACTTGGTAAAAAACAAAACCTCAGGAACTTAGGAGGCACTAAGGAGGGGGAGGGAACTAATAATCTTTGTTTTTCAAAATTGTTCCAAAGGTTTCCCCCCTTCCTGAAAGAAAATGCCCTATGCTGCATTTCCAAGCTGCTGAGAGCACTTTGAATTCAAACTGACTGCTGAAATGACATGATATTCTACGTGGAAACCCCCAAAATTGCTAGAACTCATACAGCAATTTGACAATGTGGCATATCAATGTACAGAAATCAGTTACATTTCTACATATTAACAATGAGACAAAAGAAAGAGAAATTAAGGAGTCAATCCCATTTATAATTGCACCAAAAACTGTAAGATACCTAGGAATAAACCTAACTAAAGAGGTAAAGGATTTATACTCTGAAAGCTATAGAACACTCATGAAAAACATTGAGGAAGACACAACGAATGGAAAAGCATTTCATATTCATGGATTGGAAGAAAAATATTGTTAAGATGTCTATGTTACCTA